GTTTAGGGTTTAGGGATTTTGGAGTTCTTAATTGTTATAATCGTGTACAACACTCAACACCGTCTTTCAATCTGCCAGACCCCTATATTCTTCGCGGGGCAACTTAAATTCATACGATATTATGCCCCGAAACTCAAAGTCTAACCCCTGAAAATCCTAAACCCTCATCCCTAAACCTAAAAATCATTAAGGCCCCTCTTGAGGCGCCTCTCGCGGGAGTGGAAGCCACTCGGACCGCTGGGGGGGCGCTCCTGCAGGGCGTTTCGCAGCTCTTGAAGTCTAGGGTTTCGATTGTTTTGGGTTTATAGGGCTTAGTTCAGGGTTTAGGGTTTATAGGGTTTAGGCTTTAGGGTTTTTGGCTTCAGGGTTTAGGGTTTCAGGGTTTTGGGTTTATAGGGCTTAGTTCAGGGTTTAGGGTTTATAGGTCTTAGTTCAGGGTTTCGGGTTTAGGCTTCAGGGCTTAGGGTTTCAGGATTTTGGGTAGGGTTTAGGGTTTTTGGCTTCAGGGCTTAGGGTTTCAGGATTTAGGGTTTATACGGCTTAGTTCAGGGTTTTGGGTTTATACGGTCTATAGGGTTTAGGCTTCAGGGTTTAGGGTTTCGGTTTTGCCTGGGCCCCATAAAGCCTTCCTTTTTTGGCTTCTCGACAATTCTTTCCACATATAAGGTCCTTAAAAAGGAAGGCGTTTTGGGATGCAGGTGGTGTGTAAGGTTCAATTGAAGGTTTGTTTCGTAGGCTTGATTCGGTGCCAAAGACACCCATTCTACATTCGAAAACACTCCGATTGAGACCAGCCTCCACCCCAAAACAAAAATCCTAAACCCTAAATCCGCATGGTGAGGAAGGCCGCTGTAGGGCAAGATTACCCAACAGAGTCCCTTCAGCAAGGGAAAGTTGTTCCGAATTCTGACCTTCGGTCCCTTTCATAAAGCTTAAAATTTTCATTTGAACGATTTATTACAACACGTCACCCTACATGGAACCCAAATTGGCAGCAACAAGACCATATGATATCTCCATTCTCCGTTCTCATTCTCGGGAACCGCCACACCTTACTTCCGAAAGCAGAAACCCTTCAAAGCCAGGCCGGCAGTCACTTTTCATATTCCATAGTTCCATAACCAATAATATTAAGCATACACTCAGCAAACCCAACAACTTTGCAGCTAAACCTTTTAGCTACAGCTGAATGCCAGTATAATCTCATCACCCGACCAAAACCGTGCAAAACCTAACTTAAAACTTTAACAACAAAGTGCATATGAAATCCCATCACCCGCTTCTGAAACCGTGCAAAACGCTGCAAGATAGCCTGTTGGACCCCCCTTAACTTTTTACATACAACACCATGAAACCCTTCTAACATCACCACGATTAATGTAGGGGCCTTCATAAGTTAGAATAGGGTTTTGGGGGTTCCTTATTATAATTATAGCATCAGATGCCCGCAAACCCTATTATTAAGGCCCCTATATTAAACCCATAGGACTCCTTGCGGCCGGTGGCGTTCTCGTCGGTGTAGGGCTGATTGGGCCCACGCCCGAAGTCGGTCCCCCTGCAGTTCCGTTGGAGTGTCGGGGCGTTGAAAGATTTGTGGCTTGGGGTTTGTGCTTTTTGGTTTTAGGTCTGGGCTAGTTCCGTTGAAGTGTGGGGGCGTTGAAAGATTTTTGGCCTGGGGTTTGTGCGTTTTGGTTTAGGTCGGTCTGGGCTGAGCTGGACCTCATCTTGCAAAACGACGGTAAAATGACGAAGGGGAATCCCCATTCGTAGACGGCGCCAAAACAGAAGAACGAGAATAAACTAATTGCAGCGAAATACGGGCCTGCTCCCTCTGCCGCCGATGTCCTCCGCCTCGCGTGCCTTCCCTCGCCAGTGAGCTTGTGGCCTGGCTGCTTTGATTTTGGGCAGCCTAAACCCTAAACCGGATGTAAGGTTTCGGGGGTTCAGGGGTTTAGGGGTATACAGGCTAGGCGGGCTTTACAGGCTATGGCTGTTGAATTCACTGCTTTTCGGTGTCTACGGTTCACGGTTCTTGCGGGCTCACCGGGCTTACCTATAGTCTCCATCGTAGGGCTACCTTTTAGGATCCTTAGTCTAAATTCGTTAAACCAATAAAGGAACTATAGTGGAGACTATAGGTAGGGTTTAGGCATCCAGGGATTTGGAGTTCAGGGCTTCTTGCTAAGCGATCCAGGCCTTCATGGGGTTCTGCGTCTAGGATCTAGAACTCGCGGGTTGAGGCTTAGGGACATTTTTGGGTTGCTTGTGTAGGGATTTGACCTGGAGAATACCTATAGTCTCCATTGTAGTTCCTTTTTTGGTTTAACCAATTCTATATTCAGGATTCTATAAGGTAACCCCAAAAAGCAACTTCAATGGAGCCTATAGGTAGGATCTTATAGGGTTCAGACTCCAGACTCGCTTTGTCAGAGTGGGAATTTGTTGGCTTTGCAGGCTCAAGGCTGGAAGACCTTCTCCTCAAACCCCAACCCCTAAACCCATAACCCTAAACTCTAACGCCTAAACTGTAGGCCGTACACGCGAACCCAAAAACCCATAACCCTAAACTCTAAGCCCAAAGCCCTAAACCCAAACCCTAACTAACCAAACCCCAAACCCTAAACCCCAAACCCCAAACCCTAAACCCTAAACCCTAAAGCCTATAAACCCTAAACCCTAAACCCTGAACCCTAAGCCCTAAGCCCCTAAACCCGTAAAGCGCCTCTCAGGCGAGGCAGCTTTCGGACCCGCACCTGCCAGGAGGGAAGATTCGCTTTGGGATCTCGTCCGCCCGGTTCTCAGGGTTTGGGGATTAGGCTTTGGGATTCGGGGTATGGTTTTGGGTTTTGGGTTTAGGATTTGGGGTATGGTTTTGGGTTTTGGGTTTAGGATTTGGGGTATGGTTTTGGGTTTTGGGCTTAGGGCTTGGGGTTATATGGTTTTGGGTTTTGGGTTTAGGGCTTGGGGTTTGGTTTTAGGTTTTGGATTCAGGGCCTATGGGGCTCAGGATCTGTGCGGGTTTAGCGCTCTGGGTGTGCACATATGGGTTTAGGGCGTGACGGGTTTGAAGGCTTGCAAAGATTTAGGCTCTGATTCTCTTGTCCTTCCAGATCAGGACAAGGCAGAGCAAAGAGCCAGAGTAGCACTGTTTTTTGGTCGCCTTTAAACTTGACAGCTTCCAGCAGGGCGGGCCTTTTGTAAGCCCCGGAACGGGTTCAGACTAAATAGGGGTTTGGGTTTAAGAATTTAGGGTTTAGTTTAAGACATCTTGGAGCCCTGTTGCTGCAACTTTAACAGCTTAAGCAACGGCTTGCTGCACGCTACCATCCAGGCCGATCACAACCCCGACATCACCTGACACGCTGGTCGTGAAAGTTAAGGGCCAAGAAGCTTGAAGGACCCCAGCTTTAAGCTATTAAAGCTTAGAGCTTCAAAGCGACATGTTGAATCTCCCTTTCCCAAATGCAATGCCCTATCCCGCCAAAACTCCTTCACTCCCTGCTGAGTATCCTACAGCGAAGCCCCAGAGCCGGAACCACGTCAGGGCATGAAGTTACCTATAGGCTCCATTGAAGTTCCTTTTTGGGGCTACCTTTTAGGATTCTATATACGAACCCCAAAAAGGAACTACTATGGGGCCTATGGGTGCTTCAAGCTATTCTTGATCCCATGGTTATTCTCTGCAGCCTCGCAAGAACCTGAAAATGCCCCAGAGTCATCTGCACAAACAAAGGGTGCGACTCCCCCGCAAGGCCTTGCTCAAACAAGGGTCCCGTAGGGCCTTGGACAGCAAAAACCTTTTGCCCTCGGAAGCCCCAAGACATCTGCGCAACGGCCTAGGCTTAATATCATCAAGAGTGAGAGTGTGTGTGTGTGTGTTTTGTTTGAGTGTTGTGTTTGTGTCGTGATGCGTATAAGTACACGAATAAAATATACGATCTTGCAGATGTGCATGCACGCTCCTGCATACGTGCATGCATGAATTCACGGATGGAAGGGAAGGATGCGCATGGCAGAGGCAACAGCACTAGCAGTAGCAGCTCAGTAAGGTGATAGTAGTAGTAGTAGTAGTAGTAGTAGTAGTAGTAGTAGTAGTAGTAGTACTGGTAGTAGCAGCAGTAGTGGTAGTAGTAGAAGTAGAAGTAGTAGTAGTAGTAGTAGTAGTAATAGTAGTAGTAATAGTCGTAGTAGTAGTAGTAGTCGTAGTAGCAGAAGTAGTAGTAGTAGTAGCAGTACGCGCTTTGCGCGTGTTT